TATAATAATATGTTTATATAAAATAAAATAAGATAAAATATAATATAATAAAAAAAAGTAAAATTTTATTCGTTACATGTGCCTCCCCTCAGGATTGAGCTCCTGCGAAATCAGATACTGGGTTAGGAAAGTTTTAATATGGAGGTCCCACGTGGCCTATAGTTTTTTCAGTATAGCAGTAGGGTGGTCAACCAAATATCTCCTCCGGGATCGAAAATGGAAGTAAAGGGCCAGTCAATTAGTAAGTATCGGAGCCATTGGTTTGTTGTTTTCTTTATTACCGTTTCTATTTGATATGTCCTACTATTATTAACTACCATCTTTCTCTTCTTATTCTTCTCTTTCATATTATTATTCATCTTAACCGCTATCGATTCTTCAAATTGCATTCTATTATTTTTAGTTTTATCCTCATGTGCCGTGGATTTCAAGACCCCTTCATACGCCATCCATTCGTTTTTAATTATGCCCATGCCATTTTGGAAGCAAGATCCAGGGTTGTATTGTCCAGGTAAGTTATCACCTTCAAAGACCTCGTGCAAGTCGGGCGGCGTTACTTCTCCCTCTTTCTTACTGGAGTAGGCTAACCCGTGATTTTCATTCTTTAATTTACTTTCTCCATTGGCTAATGCATTTGCATCCTCTGGTTCGATTTCAGGGGCCTTATCTAGATCAACAATTGGTTCGTCGAAATTTCCACGGAGAGGGTACGTTTCACTTTCTCTAATCAATTCTTTTTCCTTTTCTTTATTATCCTCAGTTTTTAGTATTTCCTTATCACTAACAAATTTTTCTATTTGACATATTACTCCTTCATTATTCTCATCAAAAATCGTTTTTCCATCGTTATCCTTTTCTTTATCATTCACTTTCATATAGACGTTATCATGGGGTTCACGATTCTTGGAATTCTCAAGGTTAGTTCTTTCATTTAATTCGTCATTTTTAATATCCTTCGAATACTCTTCATTCACACTCCTTTTTTCACTTCCACATCCATCTTTATATACATTGTCGCTTATTTCGATGGGGTCATTACTCTCAGTGGATTTTTGATAACAAACAGACGACCTACGGCTTTCACCGACTTTTTCTTGGGGGGAACAACCTGGGTTTTGCACTTCGTTAGCAAGTTCCGTCTTAGCCAATTCTTGATAGTGAGCAGGTGCGTTATTTTCATCTTTTTCAGTTTCGCCACCAATCCCATAGCATTCAACAACTAGCATCCCATCTCGTATTTCATCAGGTTTTTGATAATAAACGAAGGCATCACGTTCATACTTTTTAACTCCAATTTCGGCTTCAATATCTAAATCATCCTCTTCGTTATCTTCGAGGTCTCCCAGATAATCAAGGTAAATATCGTATTCGTTATCGTCTTCTTTTTCAGCTTTCTTAACACCAATTCCTTCTTCATAACTCATATCGGCAGGTTCTTTATAATATTCGAATTCCCGACGCTCATCCTTAATTTCGACTCCATTTTGATCACAATAACCAGCATTATTCGTTTTACTGGCATTCTTCATATCTGCTGGCTTTTTATAAACGAAGGCTTCGTATTCGCCCTTTTCATCTTCGATTCCGTTTTGATAACAATGGTTAAGCTGGTTCGTTCCCTCGGTATGACCAGAAGTATTATTTTCATTATTACTCCTTGGTGGGTGGTCATTTTTGGGTTCGGGCAGCCATGTATCCAAATCTTCGAGGTAGCTGTCAGTTATGTCCTCCAAAGCTACTTCCGGGTCGACTTCGGGAACGTCATATGATTCAAGAGCTTTGGTGGCGGCTGGTGGGCTTGACTTGTCGGGGTGAACTTTTTTACAAGGCGTCTCGATAGACGAAGGTGGTTGGGTTCTTTCTTTTATTCCGAACTTCTCCACGGTTATTATATTTTCCAATAATCCTAATGTAAATTTCAGAGCCTCGGGGATCTGCCTTTCGTCAAGAGCATCAGAAAATTTTAGGTGTATTATTTGTACAACCATCTCATGCTGTTCCGGGGTAAGGGTCGTAAAAAGCCGAGCGCACTTTTCATCCAAGTGCTTTACATCCGGGCACTTAAGGATGGGGTGGTTTCTTCTTCGGCAACGGGGACACAAGGTTTTCTTAGGAAAAATTTTTCCTACGGGTTTCATGGAGGTGGGTTGCAATTCTCTCTTCTTGAAAGTCGTTGGGTTCTCTATTATATCGTTAGGGGGTTGGAAGGCGTTGTTACTATAGGCATATGGGGCACAGGTGATTTGTATTTGTTGGATAAGAGCCTTGGTCTGTGCAACCAGGTTTTCGATAGCAGCGGATTGGTCAGGCTGGTTAAACGGATTATATTGAGGGGTCGGATTAAAAAAATGGGCCATAGATAGATTTTTTTTCAATTATTTTTAATTGTTTTCTTTAATTTATCCAATGGGCTAATACTATTTTATTAATTTCTAGGGGGGGTTAATTGTTCAAATCCACACAATCGGCACCAAATGTAACCGTTGTAGGGAGAGCTTAATAGAATTATGTGGAATGAAGGCCAATTTAACCCCAACGGTGTACGGGGAGATAAAGATAAATTGG